AGCTACTCGGGAGGCTGAGGCAGGAGAATTGCCTGAACCCAGGAGGCGGAGGTTGCGGTGAGCCGAGATCGCGCCATTGCACTCCAGCCTGGGTAACAAGAGTGAAACTCCGTCCCAAAAAAAAAGAAAAGAAAAGAAAAAAGTAGCAACGGAGTCAGCTGAGGATTTATCTGGATCCATTTGGCTCCTGAGTTTGAATAGCAAGAGCCCAGTAAGAGGCTCCTCTATATGGTGACCTTATGTATGCACAGTTTAGATCCATCTAAGAACAAAGGCAGAGGCATTCTCTCTGATGACATGTACAGGGGTCTTAGGGGGAGGTCTGGGGCAGAGGGAAAGGCTACAGGGAGGCCCCTCAGCTCCATTTGAGGGAGCAAGTTCTCTCAGCTACAGATGAGCAGAAAAGGAAGGGGCTGGTAGGCATCAAAGGGGGCCTCTCATTCCACAGACACTATATTGGGTACTGGGAACACTATGGGGAATAAAAGGACAGGAAAGCTTACATTCTGCAGGCAGGGAAGGAAAAGCCGGCCTGGGTCAAATAAACAACCAAGATAATTTCAGCCTAAAACCTCTCCCTTCCTACACCATGTCCTCCTTCCTCCAGTGTCTCTTATATGGTAATTACAGCCTAAAGAATAGACAGGCTTGAACCTGCAGATCTGTACATCCACGAGGAGAAAATGGTGGGGAAACTCAGCCTCAGACATCAAAAGAACTTTGTCACCCACTGTAGTTACCAATGCTGAACTAACACGATGTCTCCCTTTTATTATTGTGACTCTCTTTTGTGGTCAAAATATATATTTAAATTTCTTTTCAAATGCATATTTTATCTTGTTTACTATTATTCTACTTGGTTTCAAAACACACATCTGCCTTGGTTTTTTTGTTTTGTTTTATTTTGTTTTTGAGACAGAGTTTCGCTCTCGTTGCCCAGGCTGGAATGCAATGGCACAATCTCAGTTCACTGCAATCTCCTTCTCCTGTGTTCAAGCAATTCTCCTGCCTCAGCCTCCAGAGTGGGATTACAGGCACCCCGCCCCCACCACACCTAGCTAATTTTTATATTTTTAGTAGAGATGGGGTTTCGCCTTATTAGCCAGGCTGGACTCGAACTCCTGACTTCAGGTGATCTGCCCACCTCAGCCTCCCAAAGTGTTGGGATTACAGGCATGAGCCACCGTGCCCGGCCCCTGCCTTGGTTTTTAAATGTATACTGGAAACAAGGTCTTCCCTCCCTTCTAGCAGGGGTTTCCCAGCCCAACTTTTGGAAAGGTGTTGGGGTGTATGGAACCTCAGTTATATACACTTGTAGAAAAAGAACCGGTAAAAACGGCTGTTAAGATGGGATATGGGAACTGCTCCCTGCATCTCTTCCTCCACTATGCAGATTGTTTAGCAAACAACAAAGGTCATATTTCCAAGAAGGGAAAAAGCAGTGGGCAGTGTCTCAGGAGGGGCTCAAGGAAAAGACCTTTGTGGAAAGGTGTCAGGTGAACAGAGGCCTGAATAAGAAGAAAAGCCAGACATGCTAAGCATGTGTGGGTATGTGTGTGTCTGCACGTGTACTCATGCTCATCCATGTGTGGGATGGACAGGGCAGAATGCATGGATAACGGCCTTCCCAGACGAAGGAACTGCAAGGGTAAATTCCCACATGAGCTTGGTATGTCCAAGGGGCAGAAGGAAATCCATGTGGCTGAAGCCAATGATTGAAGGGTGACAGGAATAGAGGAGGTGAGAGAGGAAATGGACCCAGACCAGGTAAGATATGACCTGTCATGGATGGAAGCTTGGAACAAGTGAGTTTTAAGTCTCCTCCCACAGCCCAGACTCTCTCACCTGCAAACTTCAAGAGGAGGGGAATACAGATGTCAAAGAGGGCCAGAAAGTATCCTGGAGGAGGGGACCACCAGTCAGATGTGCTAGAGGCCATATAGGTTCCTGAGAGTCAGAGCAGGTGGGCATGAGGACCCTGGAACAGTGAGGGAAAGGCTCAGAAGCAGCATCCTTGAGGCGGGTTCTTGCCCTGCACTTGTCTGCATTTTCTGGGTCCAGCACAAGGTCCCACACAGAAGAGGGCCAGCAAGTGTTTGAGAAACAAGTAAATGAATAAAAATAATTTGCTTAGCGAGTACAGCATGCCAGACAGTCTGCTAGCTGCTTTTCAGACATTATCTAAAGTCATCCTAACCAAGCCCAGCAAAGCAGATATAATGAATCTCCACCTTACAGTTAAGGAAACGGAGGCTCAGGGATGTTTCAGGAAGGCATTTGCTCTGTAGAAGAGCTCAGGGCAGGGGACCTCAGTCTCCTCTCCTCTCCATTGCCTGCTCTCTTGGCAATAGCAACCCTTCC